TCATAGTCCCACCTTGTAGTTTTTGAGTTAACCCAACACACTGCTAATGGAAAATCTCTGCCACATATTCTGGTATCCAGTTGTACAGTTGTTCCATATGGATTAGGATATTGTATATTTATTTTTCCTCAATTTTTATTTAAATTAGTAACAAGATTGTTTTACATGTCAATCTCACTTCCATCTTCCTCTCCTCTTCCACTGCACCCAATAACACCCTACCTATCCCATACCATTTCTGCTCCCCAAGGAGAGTAAGGTCTTCCATGGGTGACTTCAGAATCTGTCATATTCTTTGGGATAGGGCTAGGCCCTTCCCCATGTGTCTGGGCTGAGGGAGTATCCCTCTATGTGAAATGGGCTCCCAAATCCATTTCTATGCTAGGGATAAGTACTGATCTACTACAAGAGGCCCCATAGATTTCTGAGGCCTCCTCACTGACACCCACATTCATGGGGTCTGGATCAGTCCCATGCTGGTTTCCAAGTGATCAGTCTGGGGACCAAGAGTTCCCACTTGTTCAGGTCAGCTGTTTCTGTAGGTTTCACCAGCCTGGTCTTGTCCAATTTGTTCATTACTCCTCCTTCTCTGCCACTGGATTCCAGTTCAGTTCAGTCTTTAGCTATTGGTATCTGCTTATACTTCCATCAGCTGAGGGATGAAGGCTCCAGGATGTTAGTCCTCAATCTCATTATCAGGGGTGAGCATTTGAGATAGCTTCTCCACTGTTGTCCTTTCAGATCTCTGGACATTTCCCTAGTGCCTGATTTTTCTTTAAACCTATACTGGCTCCCTCCCTGATGCTATGTCTTATTTTGCTTTCTTCTGTTTTCCCCATACATCAACTTCCCACTCTTTTATGTCTTCCTCACTCCTCCTCCTCTCCCCTTCTCATTCTCCTAGCTCCATCTCCCCTCACCCAGACTCCCAATTTACTCAGGAGATCTCGTCCCTGTTCCCTTCTCTGGGGGAACATGTAGGTCTTTCTTTGAGTCTTCTTTGTTGCCTAACTTCTCCAGTGGTGTGGATTTTAGGCTGGTAATCCTTTGTTCTGTGTGTAAAATCCATATTATGAGTGAGTGCATAACATGTTGGTCTTTTTATGACTGGATTACCTTTCTTAGAATGGTTTCTTCTAGTTCCATCCATTTCCCTGTAAATTTTAATATTCCATTATTTATTTTCCACTGAGTAGTATTCCATTGTATAAATATACTACATTTTCTCTATGCATTCTTCAGTTGAGGAGCATCTAGGTTACTTACAGGTTCTGGCTATTAAAAACAATGCTTTTATGAACATAGTTGAACTGATGTCTTTGTTGTATGAATGTGCTTCTTTCAGGTATTTGCCTAAGAGTAGAATTGCTGAATATTGTGGTGGACTAATTCTTATTTTTCTGAGGAATCATCATACTGATTTCCAAAGTGGTTGTGTAAATTTGCACTTCCACCAGCAGTGGAGGAGTGTTCCACTTTCTCCACATCCTCTCCAGCATAAGTTATCATTGGTATTTTTGATTTTAGCCATTCTGACAGGAGTGTAATGGTTTCTCAGGGTTGTTTTTATTGGCATTTAACTGATGGCTAAGGATGATGAGTACTTTCTTATGTGTCTTTCAGCCATTTTAGATTCTTCTGTTGAGATTCTCTATTTAGTTTGTTACCCCAATTTTTAATTGTATTATTTGGTGCTTTGCAAAATAGCTTCTTGAGTTCTTTGTAAATTTTGGAGATCAGCCCTCTGTCAGATATGGGGTTGGTGAATATCTTTTTCTGTTCTGTGGGCTGCCATTTTGTATTGCTGACTGTGTCCTTTGCCTTACAGCAGATTCTCAGTTTCACGAGGTGCCATTTATTAATTGTATATTTCAGTGTCTGTGCTACATGTTTAATTTCAGGAAGCTATCTCCTGTACCAATTTATTCAAGGGTACTTCCCACTTTCTCCTCTAAGAGGTTGAAAGTGGCTGGATTTATATTGAGGTCTTTGCTGTATTTGGACATAAGTTTTATGCATGGAAATAGACATGGATCTATCCGCAGTCTTCTACATAGCATCAAGCTATGGCAGCACCATTTGTTGAAGATGCTCTCCTTATTCCATTGTATATCTTTAGCTTCGTTGTCAAAAATCAGTGTTTGTAGCTATGTAGGTAAATATCAGGGTTTTCAGTTTAATTCAATATTTATTAATGGGGAAGTAATCCCATAAATTGTATATTTTAAGGTTTTGGTATGTATGCAAACCTTGCATTGAAAATGATACCTTTTGAATACAGCTGCATTAAGACTTGCTTACTATGCCTTGCTATATTTTTTCTTCCATTTATTTCTGTCACTATGCATGTATTATAAAGGTTACTGTCCATATTATTTTTATTAATTTGATTTGTCACTGTATTCACTGTATTCACCGGGCACAAATGAGCAAGGACTGTCAGGGAGACTGATATTAACTTGATATATCTGTTATCAAAGCACTTGAGATGATGAGGCAAGAGAATTGCTGTGAACCTGTATACTTCTGGCTATTTAATGAGTTCTGAGTGAAGCTACCTTGAAAATGACAAAAATAACCCAGTCAACCAAAGAAACAAAAAAATCTAAACATATGTTTGTAACAATATTTTTAAGTATAAATGGTTCATGGTTTAAGTCCTTGGTAAATCACAGTAATTTTCTTTTAGTTTGTAAAAATAAATAAATAAATAAACATCATGAGAAATGTCAAAAAAATGATGCCCTTTTCCTACTTTATGAAAAATTTCTTTCTTTCTTTCTTTCTTTCTTTCTTTCTTTCTTTCTTTCTTTCTTTTGGTTTTTCGAGACAGGGTTTGTCTGTGTAGCTCTGGAGCCTATCCCGGCACTTGCTCTGAAGACCAGGCCGGCCTTGAACTCACAGAAATCCGCCTACCTCTGCCTCCCGAGTGGTGGGATTAAAGGCGTGTGCCACCAACACCCGTCGAAAAATTTATTTCTTAATTACTTATTTGAAGTGGCCAATTGCTTTTCAGACATAGATGACTTAATAGATATTTTTGGACTATTGGTATTTAGATGGTATCTTTCCCCTGATAGGCTTACTCTTTGCTCTCAATGTGTGCCTAGTCTAGAAACTGACAGCTTTATTCCATCTAAAGTGTGGTGAATTTCATGATTGGATAATTTCTAATGTATCTCTACCTCTTAGGTATTAGTATTTCTACATTATTCTGTGAAAAGTTCTCAGGTGTTTTCAGGGATATCTATCACTCTCAAAGCACAGAACTCTACAGTTTTCCTACTACTCTGAAACTGCCTAGATGTTCAGTCATCCATGAATGCCACTCTTTCCTTCTTTACATTTTTTAGGTCTTGGCTTCTAGCTTCATGTCTATAAGCAGTCATTGGAGCCTATTGTCTTGGTAGTTGTCTGCTTTTACAAAAATTCTTAAAAATTATTGTTTATAGGTACCTAAGTTTACCTGGGCTGAATAATCCAATCTAGTATTTCTGTGAGTAGAACTCACAGATATTTTTTTTTCTTGAATCTTATATGTGAGTTCTTTAATATCAGAATCTAAGGGTTTGTGAATTTCATCTCCAGATTGTCTGCATCACAAAAGCATGGAAACTCAACTTGGAAAATCAGCTTGTCTTATCAATAAACTAGAAAATGCTAAAAACATTAGTGACTACTTCATCCATTAGTTTTATTAATTCCTTAATTGCTACTCATATTTACATATCTAACCCCCCATTCCCTTGTCCTCCCATCCTCCCATGTTCCCCACCAACCCCTACTCAACCCACTCAACTCATCCTCAGGCATAAGTGAGGCCCTCCACCAGGAACGTTCAAAGAATATCGTATCATTTGGGGGAGGGCGTAGGCTCTTCTTGCTGTATGTGGGCTGCAATAGTATCCTTCCATAGGGAATGGACTCCAAAAGTCCATTTGTGCTCTAGGGATAAAGAATGGCTCCACTGTTAGAAGTCCCATACACTGTCTTGACCTCCTAGCTGGCACCCATATTCAGAGGGCTTGGTTTGGTACAATGCTGTTTCCCCAGGTTTATGACTAGGGTCTCCATGCTCTCAATAGGTCAGGTTCACTGTTTGTTCGAGTTTCTCCAGCCCCATCTTGGCTCCTTTGCTCATCCCTCCTCCCTCTCCATAACTGGATTCCAGGAGTATGGCTCAGTGCTTAGCTGTGGGTGCCTATTTCTGCTTCAAACAGCTACTGGATGAAAGCTCTAGGAATGGTAACAAAGTTAGGCATCAGTCTCATTCTAGGGGAAAGACATCAATGACATCCTTTCTATCACTGCCTGTATTTATAGTTGGGGTCATCCCTGTGGATATCCTAACATTTTCCCTGTGCCAGACCTCTCTCCATACCTGTATTGTCTCCCTCTATCAAGGCATCTGTTTTCTTGCCCTCTTCTATACCTCCCCTGTCTCAGTCCTCCTGTTCTCCTCCCCCACCTCTTCTTCCCTAGAGGGACAAAAACTACAATCTAAACTTTGATCCTAATGCTTACATGCTGATTACCCTAATTCTAGGGTCACATATCACAGGATTTGTGGCTGCCTACTCACATTAATGAAAAGTCCACAGATACTGAATGCATCAGCCAAAGTGTCAGTGCATTTACTTGATTATTTAAATTTTGAAGAATATTTATATCTTCATATATTTAATTTAGTATTAGATATTTTTGGAGGAAATTTATGGAAAAAATAGAACATATTGTGTAAATTCTCTGAGCCCTTGATCTTCATTAACAACATGAAACTGAGCCTTTCTCTGTAAAAGACTTGTGACATTAAATTGTGTGACTTACTTAAGCATTTCTGAAAACTCATAGAAATAAAGCCTGATTTCTGAAAAAATATTAGCTTTACACTGACTTTGAAGTTACAGCCTTATCTCCTCCTGAGTTTTTTAGCATCCTATATGAAGTGATAATTGTGCTATGGAGGGTCCATTTTAACATTCATCATTTCACTGTTGCAGATGTTTCTCATTTGGTATTGGAGAAGGAGCCTCCACCAGTTTAATCAAAGGCATTGCCCGGGTATCCGGGGGCACTGCAGAGTTTATCACAGGCAAGGGCAGGATGCAGACCAAGGTGAGAACTGGCTAAGGGACCAGAGTTGCAAGTCCAGAGTGACTATGAGGCACAACAGGAACCCTGCTGCAAAGGAGACACTTTCGTGAGTCTCAGGCCATACACTTTGTGAGTCTATTTCATACCATAGTAAAAAATTGAACCAATTTTAATGTCAAAAGACTGGCATCTGACTACATTAGTTGGGAATCCAAAGAGAAGATAAAGAGGGTGGGACTTTTGTTTTTAAGACCAGAGGGAAAGAAGTTAAAAATTTTAGTTGCGCTGTCTGAGCTTATAGTCTGTACTCTTAGTAATTCAGTAGAAATACATTCTCCATGCAAAAGACACAAAAGAAAATATAAACAAGTGTGTGTGTGTGTGTGTGTGTTATAGACTCAATTTTATGGTAAGTTCACATTCCTTCATTAGTATATGAAAATTCAAGACATCTTTGATCATGTCTAATTTTCTCCTCCAAATTGTTCCTATCCTTTTTTTTAAACTCACTTTTTCAGAAGTCTACTTGTTAAATAATTTCTCTCACACACCTACACTTTCACATCTCTCAAGTGGAAGTTTACATACATATAATGAGAGAAAGAATAGCATTTTTCTCTTAGCATTGGTGAGTACATATGACTGGCTCTTCTCTTTTCCAACAGGCTCTTGGGTCTCTGAAGTTTGCTCTAAACTGTTCAGTGGAAGACATTTCTGTGAGCTGGGAATTGCCTCCTGGGCTGTCAGCTAGCATGCTTTCTTCAGAGCAGACTGTCATCTTTAGGGGTCAGAGATTAATCATCTATGCCCAACTCACTGGGACTATGCCTGTAAGTATCTATTAATTTTTATTCTTTTACTCAGTGAGACACTGTATCAATAGTTTAATAACAGTGCTGTTTCCTTGGGATTCAGCAAGATATGTTACTTGCTAGGCAGCCAGCGTCCTATCCTCTCCTTCATGCCATGCTCCTTGATTCTTAGTGTGATAATTCACTGAGCTGAAAAGCTTCTCTAGTTCTCACCATTTACCTTGTTGTGAGTCTCTTTTGACACTCCTGCTCTTGTCTTATTTGCAGCAAGTGGAGAGCTCAGGAAAAGTGTGCTTCAAGTATACCCTCAAAGGCAAGAATCTTGAAAACAGGGTGACATTTTCCCTACAACCCAAGACAAATGCCAGGTAAGAACTCACCTTTGCTTCTCCATCCTGCTCTTGCCCACCTCTCTTGTATCTTGTCTTCTCCTTTCACTTACTGACTTGCTAAAGGCGTCTGTTGTTGTTAAGTGACACATTGACCATAACAAGTCTTATAAAGGAAAACATTTAATTGAGTCTGGCATACAGTAAAGTTGTTTAGACCATGATTGTCATGGCAGGAAGCATAGTGGCAATGAGGCATGTTGTTGGAGAAGGAATTGTGAGTTCTGTATCTTGATCTGAAGACAACAGAGAAAGAACACCACACTGAATCAAGATGATGCATAAGCTATTTCTGTGGTCTGAGCATCTGAGACCTCCAAGCCGACCTCCACAGTGGCACACTTCCTCCAAAATACCTATAAGAATAAGGCCACACCTCCTAACAGCACCACTCCCTATTGGATAAGCATTGAAACACCTGAGTCTGTGAAGGCCATGCCTATTCAAACCAAGACAATTCCCTTTCTCTCCCATTCTTGATGTTTCAACCATTCCTTTCACTGACTTCTTTGGTTTCATCTAAACTCTTCATTTTCTGATTCATTCATCTGAATCCTTTGTGTCTGCATGCCTTTTCAGTTGCAGTCACTAGTTTTTAGGATTCTTTGATACTTGGTTTGCAGTTACTTTTCCTTAATTTTGTGCAGTGTCTTCTTTCAGCTTCACCATTCATCGGTTGGCTGCAAAGTCCTTGATTCAGATGAAGGACTTGGGCTCCCATGAGACATCAGATGGAGAAAAGGAGGATGTGTTGAACATCAGCATTCAGTCTGGAGTCCTCAGCTCCTTCACAGCTTTCATTGCTGTAAACAAGGAGCTCAACCAGCCCGTACAGGGGCCTTTGGCTCCCAGAGTGATTCCAAGGCCAATGACTTTTTCATATTTGCCTACCTTATGCAAATATAGCTCTGGTAAGTTTTATTATAATGTAAACTTTCTTATAATGATTATTAGCAATCTCAAGTGGAACTTTACACACATATAATGAGAGAAAGAATAGCATTTTTCTCTTAGCATTGGTGAGTACATATGACTGGCTCTTCTCTTTTCCAACAGGCTCTTGGGTCTCTGAAGTTTGCTCTAAACTGTTCAGTGGAAGACATTTCTGTGAGCTGGGAATTGCCTCCTGGGCTGTCAGCTAGCATGCTTTCTTCAGAGCAGACTGTCATCTTTAGGGGTCAGAGATTAATCATCTATGCCCAACTCACTGGGACTATGCCTGTAAGTATCTATTAATTTTTATTCTTTTACTCAGTGAGACACTGTATCAATAGTTTAATAACAGTGCTGTTTCCTTGGGATTCAGCAAGATATATTACTTGCTAGGAAGCCAGTGTCCTATCCTCTCCTTCATGCCATGCTACCTGAGTCTTACTGTGATAATTCACTGAGCTGAGAAGCTTCTCTAGTTCTCACCATTTACCTTGTTGTGAGTCTCTTTTGACACTCCTGCTCTTGTCTTATTTGCAGCAAGTGGAGAGCTCAGGAAAAGTGTGCTTCAAGTATACCCTCAAAGGCAAGAGTCTTGAAAACAGGGTGACATTTTCCCTACAACCCAAGACAAATGCCAGGTAAGAACTCACCTTTGCTTCTCCATCCTGCTCTTGCCCACCTCTCTTATATCTTGTCTTCTCCTTTCACTTACTGACTTGCTAAGGGTGTCTGTTGTTAAGTGACACATTGACCAGAGCAAGTCTTATAAAGGAAAACATTTAATTGAGTCTGGCATACAGTAAAGTTGTTTAGACCATGATTGTCATGGCAGGAAGCATAGTGGCAATGAGGCATGTTGTTGGAGAAGGAATTGTGAGTTCTGTATCTTGATCTGAAGACAACAGAGAAAGAACACCACACTGAATCAAGATGATGCATAAGCTATTTCTGTGGTCTGAGCATCTGAGACCTCCAAGCCGACCTCCACAGTGGCACACTTCCTCCAAAATACCTATAAGAATAAGGCCACACCTCCTAACAGCACCACTCCCTATTGGATAAGCATTGAAACACCTGAGTCTGTGAAGGCCATGCCTATTCAAACCAAGACAATTCCCTTTCTCTCCCATTCTTGATGTTTTAACCATTCCTTTCACTGACTTCTGCGGTTTCATCTAAACTCTTCGTTTTCTGATTCATTCATCTGAATCCTTTGTGTCTGCATGCCTTTTCAGTTGCAGTCACTAGTTTTTAGGATTCTTTGATACTTGGTTTGCAGTTACTTTTCCTTAATTTTGTGCAGTGTCTTCTTTCAGCTTCACCATTCATCGGTTGGCTGCAAAGTCCTTGATTCAAATGAAGGACTTGGGCTCCCATGAGACATCAGATGGAGAAAAGGAGGATGTGTTGAACATCAGCATTCAGTCTGGAGTCCTCAGCTCCTTCACAGCTTTCATTGCTGTAAACAAGGAGCTCAACCAGCCCGTACAGGGGCCTTTGGCTCCCAGAGTGATTCCAAGGCCAATGACTTTTTCATATTCGCCTACCTTACGTAAATATCGCTCTGGTAAGTTTTATTATAATGTAAACTTTCTTATAATGATTATTAGCTATTGAAGTGCATAATATAAACAATGATAATTTCCCAAATCTCATGAATTTAATTTTAATTACATTTCTTAAATTTTCCATGTTTTCTCCATCCTTCCACAAATAGTATTTATGGCTTCCTTTAAATTTTCCAGAGAAGTAGGTCCAACTGTGAAAGAGATTTATTGTAGAGGTACAGAAGGACATCAGGACACATTACAATGCAGAAGCATCTATGAACATTGAATAATGAAATCATTTACTTTAAATCTAATTTTTGTTCTTGATATTTAGTCAATGGGTACATGGATTGCAGATGACTGATTGCATCTGATAATATTAGTGGTGGAAGAGTGGATTTAAGAAAGAGATGGAGATCTGAAAGAGCTACAAAGGGTTATTAGTAAATTAAAAACAAAATAAACAAACAAAACAAACAGAAATGAGCATCATTTTTGTGGAGTGGCAGAAGGCCTACTTGTATTTGGTGCCTTTTTTCAGTTAGCATAAGCACTAATTAGAAGCCTGGATTTTCTGTATAATTTATAGCATGTGTCATCAACTTAAACTTAATAGTGGCATAGGTAGAGTGCTGAATTGATTTCTAATGTAGGGTTTTTAAATAGTTCTGATGGTTAGAAATTATGGATATGATTGAAGATATTGATAAGGGATGTATTTGTCCTAATTGATGTTTAGGTTGATTGAAAAATAAAGAATGAAGCAATGCAATATATTTGAAAAAAATTGAATATCCGGGGAATTAGAAAGTACAGTTCATATCAATGACCAGTTTTAAAACAAAAAAACCTAAGATAAAACACTAAAAATGCGGATGTTTTATTTTAAAAATAACATTGCAACATTTCTGATAAACAACTCTGATGTTTGTTTCATCAGACAACATACCAATGTCTTGAGGGTACAGGTGAGGTGTGTTAGAGACATAGTTACTGGATCCCAGGAAGGCAAGATCTTTGCATTAAGATGTTGCTTGCTCAACTTAAACGGATAGTGAAAATTCTCCAATTGTGTGTGGAAGAGCTTGGAGTACACTTTGTCCCTGTGGTATGGCATTTTGGTACATAGGGTACTGATATGAGGTGACTTAAGTAGTTGTTGGTTGATAGTAGGGAAGACATATGGAAGATAACCCTGGTGATAGAGAAGGTAATATCCTTGGGCTTAGACAATTGCCAACCTAACCCTCTGAACTTGGATGCTTAGGGTGCATTGAGCTTCTTTTGAAAAGAACAAAGATAAGACAAAGTTGTGAGACAGAAAAAGATCTTTTTACATTAAGGTGTATCTGGAAGAATCTTCTGTACTGCAGCTGATCTGCAACTGTGTTTTCTCAGCTAATGTCAGGGGTTCCAGATGATTCAATGGTAAGTAGAAAGAGGGTTCAGATGGTGAATGTCTATATTGGAGGAGGCCACAATTGTGAATAACACATTGTGATTAGTGAGTGAGGCTACTATGGATGGTCTACTTGATGTCCTTAAGCCTCAGTTTTTTTATCCATTTTTTATTTAAATTAGAATCAAGATTGTTTCACATGTCAATCCCAGTTCCCTCCACCTCATTTTCTCTCCTTACTCTCCCCCCCAACTAACATCCTACCTAGTTCCATACTTTAGCTCCCTGGGGAGGGTGAGGCCTTCCATAGGGGTCCTCAGAGTCTGTCATATCCTTTGGGATAGGGCCTAGGTACTCCCACATGTGTCTAAGCTCAGGGAGTATCCATCTTTGTGGAATGGGCTCCCAAAGTCCATTCTTATGTTAGTGTTTACTGATCTACTACCAGAGGCCTCAGAGATTTCCATGGTCTCCTCCCTGATGCTCATATTCATGGTTCTGGATCAGGCACATGCTTGTTTCCCAGCTATCAGTCTGGGGACCAAGAACTCCCCCTTGTTCAGGTCAGCTGTTTCTGTGGGTTTCACCAGCCTGATCTTGACAATTTTGCTCATCGTTTCTTCTTCTCTGCACCTGGATTCCAGTTCAGTTCAGCATTTAGCTGTGGGTGTCTGCTTCTATGTCCATCAGCTGCTTGATGAAGACTCTAAGATGGCCTACAAGTTAGTCATGAATCTCATTATCAGGCGAAAGATTTAAAGGTAGCCTCTCCTCTGTTGCTTAGATTGTTAGTTGATGTCATCCTTGTAGATATCTGGACATTTCCCTAGTTCCTAATTTCTCTTTAAACCTACAATGGCTCCATCTATTATAGTATCTCTTATCTTGTTCTCCTCTAATCCTCATTTTAAAAACTTTGATTGGTACGAAACAAAGAGGATGTTGCAGTATCCAATGTGCATTTTTGTTTTTCAGGTTACAGGCCATTATATAAAAGAAGAAGGGGAAAATGTTCACTATCTGAAGATACTTTGTCAGAAGGTCATGATATGTATGGTAGGCATCCCTAGAGGTCTATGAACACATACTCTATGGAATAAGGGAGTTTCTTTTTGGGACAAGTTTTCTCAGTAATGTTTGTTCATCACAGCTTATGTATGTGGTAAAGCCTATGTATCGTTGGATAGTATGGAAGATGAAGAATCTGAAAGCAAGATGAATGACTCAGAATCTCCCACCAAAAAACCCAAGTTGCAAAATGACCACAAAGGTGAGTTGGACCTCAGAGTATGTCTCTGACTTTTGGTAGCCATAAACTAACCTTCCGAGCTCTTCATCTTAGACATTTCTCTACCTATGGAGTGACTTACTTGAGGCAGCAGGATGGAGGAGAGATTTGATATTGCTGTGTATTTGCCAGAATGAATCTAGCTTCACTAATCTACAAACAGCCTTTGATACCTTCTAACCTACTGCAACTGAGTAGCCTCTAATTCTTTGAGTCCCCTTGGCAATCTCTGTCTACACAGTCCACCTGTCATCAGGGTTTGACCCCAGCAGACTAAGGGTTCAGAGCCCAGAGCAACTGCTCATCCATCACAGATTAGAAATAGTCAGTGGACATCCTGCAGAACCCTCACAACAGCCTCCTATTTCAGGAGACTGCCTCTCTTAGGCTGTGATCCTTAATTTCCTCTGTCATATCTTTCATTTTTCACAAAGTTTTTGGAGAAAATGCCATTCTGCACCTGATTTCCCTCCAAAAGGCAAATGGCTCCTGGGAGCTGGATGAGGAACTGACTAAGATTCTGGGCACTAGTTTGGAAGACATGAAGGAGGCAAATCCTGCCAAGGTGAGATGCAAAGTGTAACAAAGGAAACAGAGTGTCCCTCATCATCTTAGGAACATAATTACAATTGAAATAAACCAGGACCAAGGTGAGAAATAAGAATATAGATAATGCAAAGGTGAATTTAATGTATAATATATAGGGGATGGATTTATTTCAACTTATGCCTGACCTAAGGAACAAGGAATTAGTAGCTTAGCTGCCGTAAGGCATGGTAAGACAGAAGGGCATCAGTGGGAAAATAAATGTTCTTCATTGTTAATCATATTCCCTTCAGTATATTTGTAAAAACAAATATTTTATCTTCATACTGTACAAGATAATTTTTAAAGCACTTAGTATTAACATACTCACTTTTCCTCAATTCAGTCAATTAAGGCAGGTTCTATTTATGTAGTTATATATAGATGAAGAAATCAAACATTAAGAACAGGAATTGTCTGCATTAGCCAGTGCAGACCTAGATCCAATGGTAGCATGCCCTGTCTGCAGAGACTCCAATAACAGCCACAGTATAATTTTTAATGTTCTCAAATATGCTAAATAAGGAATAAACCTTATCAAGAATTCAAAGTTTATATTCTGGATATTCTAATAATATTTGGAAAAAAATCTCTTCAATAAAACATATGCCAAATCATGAAGAGTAAATACAGTTCTGAGTTATTAAAATGTAAGATTCGAATAAATATACTTCACATATTCTATAGTTATACTACTTGTACTATATCTTCTAGTCATGCCTGGCTTTTAAGCCTATGATATGTGATGAATGAAAATGACATGGAACTTTTAAATCAACAGAGTTATCTATACTGTAAAATACACACTGATTAAATATTTTGGGTGAAACTATGGAAATATTTCATCAAAATGGTTTCACATTGGCTGCTTGACAAAATGATAATTTCTTTAACATTTTTAAAAGTATTATTTGTTACTAGCTAGAGACATTGTCCACTAGCAGAAGACAACTCTATAATATAACAGGTCATGAGCTGAATCTAGTAAATAAGTACAGTGAATTTGAATAAACATCACATATTGATATCTGGATTTCAATTTGAAATTTTAAAATGATAGTTATTCCAACTCGATATAGATTACTTATATATAAATAATATATACTGGATAGGAAATTGATATCAAAATGCTAACATAAATTTGAAGCCACTAAGCTCTGAGTGTTTACTTATTTATATTAATGAAGATACAGATTAAAGTGTTTCAAGTGGTAGATGATAAAACAAAAAGAAAAAGTGATACATAAGAGAATCAAGGTACCCTGAAATGTCTGATCATGATTTTTAAGTTTTCATGAAAAATAACAGCATTGACAGGACCTAGATGACACAAATAAAAGTGAAGAATTGCTGTTATTTCTTAATCCTTGGCTGTATGAGAAGTAGGCATGCAAACTCACATGAAAACAGTTGCAAGGTGAAAGAAGAGGTGTCACATGACCACAAGCAATATGAAGCAAAAGATCTGAACCAAAATACCTTAGAAAAGGCTTCATTCATGGGTTTTTATAAATCATCTATTGTAAGCTGAGGCCACTCAAGAGCTACAATTTACAAAATATGAATGGGCTTTGCATCCTGTCCTGAGCAACATGCTTCTGGATTCTTACTACCTTGACTTAAGCAGCCCTCACAGAAATATGAGTGGTATCTAATATTGGGCCTATATGCCAGCATCCATCATTACTAAAGAACTAATTTAGAAATATCTTTTACCTTTTGTATTACTTGCATTTGTGTTTTGAAATGTGCTTTTAATTCTTTGTTATGACAATTTGTTGTTATGCTGTTTAGTTTTGTGTTTTGTGGGGGGTTGTTTTTTGGCACAAGAGGATAGAAAGAAAAATTAATGCACACAATACCTTAAAAGAATTCAAATATAAAATTCTGTCTCCTTGTACAGCCTAATAATTCATGTACTAGGTGTTTGAATTGTCTTGCAAAATATGATGCTGTTTACACTGGATTTACAACATAAGTCCTATTCTAAGCCTTGAGGCTCTGGCAGTCAGTATGGTAAGGATGTGCCAGAGAATTCCATTTAGCAACAGATTAAGGGAATGACAAGGAAGGAGTTAGGAAACCTCTATGCTTCCTCTTGAGTGAATTCCTGCCCTGCTTGGAGCATCACAGAAGTTTCTGTCTGTTTTGCAGGATCAGGATCCCTCAGCCTGGGCAACAGTGCTGGCTCTGCTCTGGCTGCATGCCAATGGCAAAGACTTGAAGTGTGAATGGGAACTTCTGGAAAGGAAGGCAGTGGCCTGGCTCCATGACCATGCAGGTAGGAGCACAGCCTCCATCTCTCTCTACTTTTCAGGTGTGTTTCAGATCTATGCCTGTAAGTGTACCAGAGGGTGAGTACTAGAAAGTCCCCATAGTTGCCCCTACCATGGTATCTTAGAGCATTATCTGTCTTCTCAGCTAATCCTTCATCTTTAGGATTAGGATGAAATATGCAGTTGGTGGTTGGGACAAGCTGATCAGAGGGAAGGAACATAGATATGGATGCTTAGCTGAGTAAGACTAACCCTAGACATGTAGTCTGTATTCATGGATGTTTATTGTATCCTTATTGCTTTGTTCCTGTGGACAGAAAAGACTGAAGGAGACAGAACAAGGAAAGGGGAAAAGCTAGGGTACAGCAGGAATCTAAATCAGGACTGAATGGGACAAAAAGAATAATGGAGAAGTGTAGGCACACCTGCAGCCAGCCCCTAAGTAGGCGTGGCTACAGCTTCCCCTACAGAAGGCTCATGAAAAAAAAACCCTTTCTTCCCATATAGTACAGTTCTGATTCTTGTTTTCCTTCTTCACAGACTCCACCATCCCCATGCTAGTGCAAGCTGCCAATAGTTTTCTGAAACTGTCTGTGACTCCTGATGACCTTGTCTTCTGAGACTGCAACCCATGAAACAAGAGCATTGCCTGGTTATGACTATGCCCTCCCTGTGTTCTTTGGCTAAGATATCATTCGGTTTTTATCTTTACCTTTTTCACTCTTCTCATAACAATAAAGCCTATGTGCCCAGGCTTGCTTATCTATTGGAGATCCCATTGGATCTGATATATTATCTCCATCGTTTCATCAGTGAGGAATTATTATGGTCTTCCATCAAGTCATATGCAGAATGACACTTGAAGTTTAACAGAGAACTTACAATAAAATAAGTGACATGAATTTTGACTAAGTACTGTAATTTTGATGCTGTGCCATGCCTGATTTAATAATCTGCATTATTGTTATCCACTCTCTTTGTTTTACAGGATCATCAAAACAAGGTGATATGCTTTCTATTTGAAGCAACATACATTTGAATGAAAACTGAAAGGCAACATAATGATAAATGCAAGCTCAAAAAATTAAAGACAAAATATATACATTGCACTATTGTAGAATGCCTATGGATATCTTAAGTAGATTCTGATAATATTTTTGTTCCATGTCAAAAATGAGTACATGTCAAAATGACTACATATCTTTATTTCCATTACCTAAGTAACTTTGTTTAGTAAATACTAGGATATCAATATTTCTGCTTACTTATGATATGGTTGCATGTCCTCAGACTTGGTCTGTGCTATGAGGTTCCTAACCAGATTCAAAAGGAGCATTAGAGCAGAACAGCTAGAATTAAAAATGATTATGTCCATCAATGTTCTTTCTTTTCTTTTCTGCTACTGTGGGAAAACATTAGAGAAAATTAACTTCAGGAAGAAAAAAATTGGATGGGAGACGACCGAATGGGTTAACTGCATATTTACTATCAGAGGACCTGAGATTGGAACCCCAGAGTCTACATAATAAGGTAGATATTAGAGTTGCCTATTATCCCAGCACTAGCAGACACAGAGAGAAGATCCCAGGACCTCACTAGCAAGTCTAGCTAGACAATGGGTGAGCTGCAAGCTCAGTGAGAAACACTCATTCCCAAGTAAACAGAGAGGGATAGAGGGAGAAACCAGTTCTTTTCTAAGCAGTTTCCTATGATGATACTACTGTAAATTGCAAAGCTTGGTAAATCTTCACCAGAAGAAAGTTAAGAACAATTAGCAGACAGCAGGTAGGCCCAAAATATCTTCATATGTGGAACTTACAACATCTTTCAGAAGTGACTAGGAAAGCATAGTTGAGGCAGCCAGCTGGAGTTCCTCATGTACAGTTGGGGGTAGAACAGCGCATCTCCTTATAAAGGTTGCTAATAAAAAGCCCCCATTAAAGGCATCCGATAGACAGGAATACATCAGTAATATGGGAGTTTACAATGTCTGAGTGAAATGACTAGAGAAGCCTTGCTGAAAGTCATGCTGGATTTCCTGATCCAGAGGTCCCCAGGACACTATCTTTGAAAGAGCTTCCCGTGTCTCCTTACCAGTGTAGGCATTTTGTATCATGGAGTAAAGAATAGTATTCCGGTGAGAAAATGATTCATAGTATACCTGTTCTCAGATTCTCATTTTTGTACACTTAGCTGTTTGCTGTTCTTCTCCTCCCTTCTGTCTTGACTCAACCAAAGGAACCTTATAAGACAGGAGATAAACAGTGCTAATTTGTCATGCTGGCAGTCCATCTTCCTCTTTGAGTCTCATAGAAGAAAAATGTCCTTGCCTAAAGAAGGGCAACCCTATAAAGGTACAAGAGGCTTTAAAAACCAAATACATAAGATCAGAAAAAATAATAATCAAAACACTAAACATACAGAGCAAAGAGATAATATTAAAGGCTACAAAGTAATTACCCAAGTATTACATAAAGGCAGACTATTAGAGTTCCCCTAATTTGTCAATGATACTCTAAAAGCCACAAGGACATGTTTTGATGTCTTGCAGTCTCTAAGAGATAGGAATTGCCAGCCAAGATTACTATACCCACTATTAATTTCAATGACAATAATAGAAAACAAGATATTCCATAACAAAGTCAAATTTAAACATATCCGTACACAATTACATTCAGACAGAAGATTCTATAAGGAAACTTCCAATTCAAGGATATTAACCACACCCATGAAAATACAAGCAATAAATAATCTCATACCAGAAAAGCCCTAAAAATGGAAACACACACAGACACACACTGCCAACATAAAAGCAGGGGTTAACATTCATTGATGATATATATCTCTGAATATCAATAAACTCAATTCCTGATAAAAAGACACAAATTAACAAACTGCATGCAAAAACAGGATCCATCCTTCTGTTGCATACATGAAACATACCTTAACATCAAAGATAACCATTACCTCAGAGTAAGAAAAAGGGAGAAGAGGAGGGAGAGGAGGACATGTAGAAGCAGGAAGATTGAGTCAGGGGAAGAATAGAGGAGAGCAAGAGAAGAGATACCATAATACAGGGAGCCATTATAAGTCTGAAAAGAAACTGGCACTAAGGAAAAGATCAGAAATCTATGAGGATGACCCCAACTAACAATCTAAGCAATAGTGGAGAAGCTACATTAAATGCTCTTTTCTGATATTGAGATTGATGACTACATTAATTGCCATCCTAGAGTCTTCATCCAGTAGCAGATGGAAGCAGAAACAGACACCCACAGTAAAACACTGAGCTGAACTCCTGAAATCCAGTTGCAGAGAGGGAAGAATGATGAGCAAATGGGTCAAGACCAGGCTAGAAACACACACAGAAACAGCTGACTTGAACAAGCAGGAAATCCTGGACACCAGACTGATAGTTCTGAATCCAGAATAGGACTGTTACAGACTCCTTGAATGTGGATGTCAGTTTAGAGGTCTGGGCAATCTATGGGGCCTCTGGTAGTGTATCAGTATTTATCCCTAGTATAGGAATGGATTTGGACCCCATTCCTCATAGAGGGATAATCTCTCAGCTTGGAAACAAGGGGTAGGGTCTAGGCCCTGTTCCAAATGATACGATAGATTTTGAAGATCCCCATGGAAGGCCTCATCCTTCCTTGAGATCAGAAAGGAAATGGGATAGGGGTTTGGTAGGGGGCAGTGGAAGAGAGGAGGGAGAGGGAACTGGGATTGATATGTGAAACAAGCTTGTTTATAAGTTAAATGAAAAGAAAAATAAAAAACAAACTTGAAAAAGTAAGTGGACCTAAGAAACAATCTAGTGTTTTCATTTTAATATCTAACAAAAGTTAATCAACAGAAATACAGAAGGACACTTAATACTCATCAAAGAAAATTCAAACAAGATGAATTTCAATTCTTAACACCTATGACCCAATCATAAGGTCACCCAAATTTGTAATGGAAACACTACTAATACTTATATCATATATCAAACCTCATACTTTGGTATGGGGGACATCAATATCCCGACTGCAGCAATGACAGATTATCCAAACAAAAAATAGAGATGTATTGGAACTAACAGACATTATGAGCCATATAGACCAAACAGATATCAACAAAATATTTCATCCAAACATAACAGAATGCAATTTCTTCTCAGCACATTCTTCACAGAACATTCTCCAAAGCTGACCATATACTGAATCACAAAGTAACTCTAAACACATAGAAGAAAATTAGAATGATTACCAAAATCATAGCAACCCACAACTAATTGAAGGTGGATTTAATTGACAGAAACATCTGAGCCTATAAACTCACAGAACTTGAACAATTCCCTACTGAATAACCACTATGCCAAGGCAGAAATAAAGAAATTAAAGATTTTCTAGACTTCAAAGAACATAGATACACAACATACCCACAGTTACCTGACAAACTGAAAGTGGTGCTAATAAGAAAGTTCATAGCACTAAGTGCCTCCACAAAGAATGTGGAGAACTACAGCTCTGTAATAGAGCTTCCTGAACATTGCACCAGTAGCACAGACACTGAGGTCAACAATTGATAAATTGGACCCACTGAAACTGAGAAGCTTCTGTAAGGCAAAGGACACAGTCAGCAACATACACTCCTCTACTGCTGGTGGGAGTGCAAACTTGTACAGCCATTTTGGAAATCAGTATGGCACCTCCTCAGAAAACAGGAATTAATCTACCACAAGATCCATCAATTCCAATCTTAGGCATATACCCAAAAGAAGCACGTTCATACAACAAGAATATCTGTTCAACAATGTTCATAGCAGCGCTAGTTGTAATAGCCAGAAACTGGAAGCAACCTAGATGCCCCTCAGCTGAAGAATGGATAGAGTAAATGTGGTACATTTACACAATTGAGTACTACTCAGCAGAAAAAAACAATGGAATCTTGAAATTTTCAGAAAAATGCATGGAACTACAAGAAACCATTCTGAGCAAGGTAACCCAATCACAAAAAAGACAAACATGGTATGTACTCACTTATATGTGGATTTTAGACATAGAGTAAAGGAATACCAGCCTACAATCCACACTGCCAGAGAAGCTAGTAAACAAAGAGGACCCTAAGAGAGACATACATGGTCCCCTGCAGAAGGGGAAAGGGACAAGATCTCCTGAGCAAATTTGGAGCAAGGGAGGAGTGGGGAAGGAGCTAGGAGAATGAGAAGAGGAGAAGAAGAGGGGTAAGGAGTACATGAGGGAGCAGAAAGGTTGAGTCAGGGGAAGAATTGAAGAAAACAAGAAAGGAGATACCATAATAGAGGGAGACATTTTAGGTTTACAGAGAAATCAGGAACTAGGGAAAGGTCTGGAGATCTACAAAGATAATGCCAACTAACAATCTAAGCAAATGAGGAGAGGCTACCTTAAATGCCCTCCCCTGATAATGAGATTGATTACTAACTTATATGCCATCTTATAGCCTTCATCCAGCAGCTGGTCGAAGTAGAAGTTACACCCACAACTAATCACTGAACTGAACTGGAATCCAGTTGCAGAGAAGAACGAGTGATGGGCAAAGGTATCCATACCAGGCTGGTGAAACTCACAGAAACAGGTGACCTGAACATCATGGAGCTCTTGTTCCCCAGACTGATAGCTGGGATACCAGCATGGGACTGATCCAGACCCCAGGAACGTTGGTGAGGAAACCTTGGAAATCTACAGGACCCTGTGTAGATAATCTCATTACTTATCCCTAGCATAGGTGTGGACTTTGGCAGTCCAATCCACATAAAGGGATACTCCCTGATCCAAGACACATGGGTGTGGGCCTAGGCCCTATCCCAAAGGATATGATAGACTTTGATGACCCCCCCATGGAAGGCCTCACCCTCCCTGGGGAGCAGAAAGGATATGTGATAGGTAGGGTTTTAATTGGGGGGGGTGGTAGGGGAGGAGGGGAGGGAGTGGGAACTGGGATTGACATGTGAAACAATCTTGTTTCTAATTTTAAAAAAGAATTGTAGAAGAATACAGGAAATAATCAAATGGAGGGTTGATATCAATAAAATAGAAACAAAGAGAACAATACATGGAATCACTGAAACAAAGTGTTGGTTAGTGAGAAACACAACATGATAGACAAACCCCTATCCAAACTAACCAAAAAGCAGAGAGAGAAGGAACATCCAAATTGACCAAATAGGAAAATAAGCAGGGCATAACAACAGACACTGAGGAAACCCAAAGAACTATTAGGTCATATTTCAAAAACCTATACTTCACAAAATTGGAATACCTGAAAGAATTTGACAGTTTTCTTGATAGATATTACTTACTGAAGTTATATCAAGATCAGATAAACAATTTAAATAGAACTGTAAC